CCCCAAAACCCCAAAACCCCAAAACCCCAAAACCCCAATTAGCAATGAGCTTATTGAATTTACCTTTTGCTGTTAAGATTAAGTATGGATTTTGCTCTAACCTTGGATTATATCATGGAAGAAGCGAAAGATTCATAAGCATCTCACCATCAATACTTAGATGATCGAAAAGTTTCATCAAATAAGTTGCGGAGACTCTCTCGTACCTTTTTCAAAGCTACCTCACTCTTCTTTGTTTGATGAATGTTAGGTTTATGTTTTGGGGAAGATTCTTCCATGTTACATTCTGACATATCCTTGAACTGAATCTGGATAACATTGTCAGAAACATTCTCAGAGGTCTTTTTCACAAATGATTTATTTTTAATTACTTTTTCCTCCTCTTCCTGCTCTTGAGACTTGTCCTGAGTCTTTTCGTTCTTGTTCAAAAGAATGATTGGCTTTCTTTTACCTGGCTCATTTTTCTTTCTCTTCTGTATAAAATTTAATAAGGTTTTTGAAATTTCTTACTTTCTCAGGGTTATCCAGTGGGACGAGATTTCTATTCCCATCTGCATCTCTTACAACGGTAAGTCTTCTCTGTGAAAAGGTTAGAGACAAGCGATTACAGAATTTAAGAAACTGGTTAAAACTCACTCTTCTAATGTTTGTACACCAGCCCATTATTTGCTTTTTAGTAAGCCTTGTTTTTCCTTGGATTCTTAGGAGATCTTTTCTTTCGATATAGGGATGATCCAGGTTATCCTCGAGCCACTCCATTAAGAGTTCGATTGATTTCTGGCAAAAGATGTCAGACCTTCTTCCTCTATCTATTTGCGTTTTAGATCAAATTGAATTAAAGCAAGATTGGATTCGATTTAAAATCAGAATAAAATTATGAAAACTCTTGTCATATCCAACACTCATATTTCGAAAACTTAAAGACTTTAAAGACTTTAAATAGCTTCAGAGAGGTCATGAAGTATCACTACTCCATCGACTTCAAACATTCCAGCCATCTTTATTCATAAGGTTATTCACGAGTTTTTTCCGCAAATTTTATTATTAGGACTACTTTATAAGCAATGTTAAATTATAGTAAAAATCCAAAGGATCAAACCAAATACTGCTACTAGCCATAAACTGCTCATTTGAGCTCGTTCTAAGGTATTTCAGACAATAATGGGCTAAAATTTGATACACTCCCAAATTTTAGAGTAGCTATCGGGGTGGAGGAATTTTATAGAAAACTTTGGTCTCACCGACCCTTACCTTCTGGTTCTATTCTTCTTGTAGCGTCTTGTCTCATTCGTAGATACGTGGTACTATAGAAATTAGTTATTTCATGAGCGATTGACTAGGCGGTAAAAATTGATATAAAACTTCAAAGATGGTAATCAAGAATTGGTGCATGGGATATATTTGACTTACATAATTTATTAATATTTCAACCAGTGTGTGGCTTTTAGGGGTTTTGGGGTTTTGGGGTTTTGGGGG